GAGGAACTCTGGGAGTTGAAGTCCACAGGTCTTAAAGTTGCCAAGGTTGGAGACCACTGCTTTAAAGGAATCGCGGCAGCTGTCAAGTTAGCAGGAGGGTCGTTCAGCGAATCTGGCTTCCTCATGGACTTTTGCACGTCAGAAGGTCTCAAAGTGGGGATGATGTGACACTCACACACCCTTCCCCCGGGGGGTGGGGGGTGGAAACGACATGCTGCAACCATCATAAATATGATCCAGTTGCCGAGCGTCTGAATTTTAATCACAGGGGCGTTGCAACGCTCCTACGTGTGAAAAATGTTTTGTAAATCCGTTTTTTTTCAATGCTGTTGTAACTACGAACGGTCACAAAACTGTTGTAAGTGGAGGACTGCCTGTATTCCCCGGCTGCGTATTCCTTTTAGCATAACTGGTGAGCTGACTGGTGAATCCTGAGTAAACCTTGACCAAGACAATCCGTGGTTTTTACCTTTTCCAGTGAACCTCTGAATACCTCTTTGCCAATGTCCAATACAGCACAGGAGTCCACCTACGTCAGCCCTGTGGTCACGTCCAGCCTGACCTGCTCTGTCCAGAGCACTAGCCTTGTCTCGGCCTCTTCCTCCTCCTCCTCCTCCTCTTATGACCAGGCCTCTGTGCATAACAGGGTGACATACCAAAGTCCGGTGCCTCCGTCAGAACCTGCCTCCGTGGCTGTCATGGTGAGTATGCTCAGGGAAACCCAACACCCATTGCCTTTGGTGGACTTCTTAAGAAGAGGGTGTTCGCTGGCATCAGATGGACTTCCCTTTATATTTACTTTTATTGAGATGTTTTCAGGGCCTTTCACTTGCCAAACTCTAAGCAGCTCACAAGCAACAACATACACTGCGGAAAAATGCAATTACTTATTTATTTAGCATCTCCTGAGAAACATAACCGAAGGGAAGTAAATGTATGCGCAAGCATATTTATAAAAACACAGCCATCCTCATTCAATAGCAATAGCAATAGCAGTTAGACTTATATACCGCTTCATAGGGCTTTCAGCCCTCTCTAAGCGGTTTATAGAGTCAGCATATCGCCCCCAC